TTCATCTAAGCCAGTATGCCAATAACGAAATGGATATTAAACAAAAACCCTTTCTCTTTGAAGAGAAACGGAAAAATCTAAATTTAGGTTCATACTTTATTTTTTATTATGAAAAAATCTGATTCTGTTTCAAATCAAATATTGAAATGTATTAATGACTCAGAGGCTTGACAACACATCAGAGAAAAAAAGATCCAATTCAAAATTTCCAGAAAAAGATTGAAATTTTGATAATTTCATAATCATATAAAATCTGTCGAAAATAAAAAAAATCTGTCTAAAATAAACGTGATATGCATTTTTGGAAATTTTGAATTTTTTCTTTTAGACAGTGTTACATGTATAGCTCAATTATTTGTGTAAGTTAGTTTTCTCACCAACTAGCTTGAACAGCAGTCTGCCCGAAAACAAAAACCGCTGACAAGCGTCATGACAATGGTGTGTGGCGCTATACCTTGAGAACACAATGGAATGTGTTTGTCATTTAATTTCACATACCTGCTAGGTTAGCAGACAAGGGAAATTAATGTCGGATAAATCGCACTACATTATGATATTAGAATATCAAAAGGGCATCATTATTGATAAATCAGCCACGGCGTATGTGAGAAAAGCCAGCGTTCCTTATTTCTTTTAATTTCCTGCATGTTTTTGTAATTAATTCATATCCTTTGATGTAAAATGTTCATCTACATAATGACACATAGCTGTTTCCAGTATTGGGTACGGTGAGAAAATGAAGATGACGTTATGCTGAGGGTGTGGAACAAGGGTAAGTTAATGTCCGGGACTGTATGACCAATGGGATTGATGGGTTCCCGTGCATCACTCTATCTGCGATCCTCGGATCCCCGTCATGAAGTGTATCCCTCTGGACCACTACAATACCTTTACAGGCTCCGATCATGACCTAATCCACACAAAATAGGTGTCTTTTCAATTACTTGTCACATGCTTAGAGCCAGCAAAAGCTCAAGGTATTCTCCCCAGACCTTCTGCCAGGGAGCTGAAAGGGTGCCTGTCAACGGATTGACTTAAAGTTGATTAGATGGCCTTACTCCATAGCAGCTCAGAGTGGATTTTCCCGGTGTTCTAAGGAAAGAAGCTGGCTGGTGTGTTTTGTTCCTTTATAAAACAGGAGATTTGTTCACCAGATTCAACATCATGTCTGACAAATTAAAACACAATGAATTTCACTGAAATGAACAGTAAAACCGGGCCTTTATTTCACTGAAATGATACGTTATTATTCCTCCCTAGAAATAAATGATTGTGCTTTCAACTGAATACAACAGCGTTGTTTATAAACAATTTGGCCAAATCCACAAATGAGATATTGCATTTTCATCACAAAAACACTCAAAATTAATCTTACAGAATTAGATAAATGTCTTACAAATTTGTATTTGATGAATTTTGGAACTTAGCATTTGGATTTTACCCAAAAAGAACACAATACAAAACCATTCTTTAATACTATAATGACACATGATCTCAGTTCTTGTTGTTCTGCTTTTCTTTCTTTCGTTTTTCCTTTCCCCCCCCCCCCCCTTCCTTTTCATTGAAACATTAATTAAATGAAAAAGAAAGAAAGAAAATACTAATTTTAATTCAGTTTAATCAAAAAACAAAAATAAAGGAGAATTAGAAAACAAAACAGACTTTCAGGAAACATTAATCCAAACTATAAACAAACTGTATAAAATGAAACCTCATAATCTGCGATTCTCGAAGCACCTTAATTGATCAAACATTTGATATAATCTTGAAAGTGCTCTCACCATTAGAATAGAATAGTTAATTTTATCAAAATATAATTTTTATATCACGAGGAGAACTGAAACCCAGCAATTTTTAATAAATTAATTTCAGAAAATGAAATGTTACATGAGAAAGTGATCATGCTAGGCGGTTCATTTTCATGTGGTGTCCAATTAAAATTTACTTCATGAAATTTTATCAGGATTATTTCAAATCCTTTTCATTAATAAATCAGAAAGCCACTTATTTATGTTATCTAATGTAACATGCAGTTGTTACTTGTAACAATATATATTATCCAATAATAGACAGTCATCAGTACTGTACCATGAAGAGTTGTCTCCCATCATATTTCATTCCATCAGAAAAATATGAAATAGGTGGACATCAGATAACATCACTATATTTTATACAAAGCATTATAAAAACATCCTGAATAATTGATTGCTATTAAGTACTACAACTTACTTCTTTCTCATTGTGAAAATTATTTGTTGTTTTTTATTATTATTTTACATGATGGGATATGATACCCCACAAAGTGCTTTTAATTAGTGGATCATCATATCAAACAGATGTACATCATCATCCTGTCATTGTTGTTATTGACGATTGCAAGAAAATCAGATTTTTATATCAACTTTAAATTATCCTCTGCTCTATCAGCTGTCTAAAGTCACCATAAAAATTCAATACTTAATTAATTTTGATTTAAATTTGAAACGATTCCATATTCCCCATATGCTGTCACCGTCATCAACAATTATATATCACTGCCAAACGTCATATAAATATCCAAAGCTCAAATTTAACCCCACAACTGTTTTGTGTAGTAATATAATGCCTTACTGCCCCATCACCATTAGCTCTTTCAACAAGGCCTATATATCAATCAGTTTTACATTGGGTGTTACGGAGGTAATTAGTCTTACTGGTGTAAATGACTAGGGTCAGATTCTGATTGGTGGAACAGGTCCAGTTATGATTATGATGTCACAATAATTTTAATTGATTTAAAGATGTTCCCAGACAGAATATTCTCCTTTTTTCCGCATTTTTACATTTTTTCATTTGCAAATTTATTCTCAAATCTTTTCAAATACATTTGTTCATAAGAACAGGGTATATAGAACAATGAAATAATCAGTCAGAAACTGTAATTTTGGGTTGAAAGATATTTAAATATTTTATTATGAAATTTAAAAAAATAATAGCAACTCCCGAAGCAATAAAGTAAATTCATCTTTTAACTGGTTACTGACATAGAAAACAAGTCAGGAGTTGCTTTATTTATTTTAATTCCATTTTGTGAATTACTTTTAAAGATGACTCTGTATACCCTAAAGTATCCTCATGAAGCCAAGCAGATGAACTATAACATACATGTGGACTTATTGGACATTGGTTCAAGGGGGATCATTCTCTACTTCTGTTACAAATTTCATTAGTTTATATCTATTTAGCTGTTGAATATATGGACAGTATATAAAACTAAGTTAGAAATATTGCAAATATCTATAAGACCACCAGGAATTGTTAGAATGCTTCTGTCATCTACTACAACCTCAACATCATACCATATTTTTGTGGTTAGACCTACTGCTATTATTCATTCATTCCAACTAAAACTTCTTTAACAAATACTTCCAAGCTTTAGAAATGATATCTTTTCAGAACAAGTTTTTGCAAGTATTGTGATATTAACGGATAGATTTGGTTTCAAAATTAGCTGCAATATTTTCGTCACTGTTAATTTTTAGGACAGTTTACCATTTCCCTGCACTTTGCTGAAGTTATACTGAGCAAACATTATACTTGAGGTTCTGTAAGGCTGGGAATAAGATGATCTGTCAGATTTTCTATAAAATCTTCGAATAATTTTTGTTCTTTCTGGCCTCATCCCTTTGAGGAAGTTTTCCTGGTAAAATTTCAAAGCTTTTAGTGTAAATTGGTAGCAAGCTCCTCGAGGGATTTTCATATAAAATATTTTTTAAACACTAGAAAATGAAGGAAAGACGTGTCAGAATTATACAAAAACTTAGATTAACTTGTAATTGGAGGAATCCCGAAGTAATTATACTGTACTGTATAGTTCCCTGAAGAACCTGCTCGGGGGTAAACTCGCCACGGACAAGTAACTCTGGCAACAACATCTCTGATTATATTTCTGCGTGATAAAATGTTCCCCAAATAGACGGGCTAGGTGTTACACATTTTTATAGATAGGTCAAAACCAAAAAGTCTAATCAATAACCTTTAATTACTACAGAAAAGCTTGCTTAAAATGTCCGCTTCCTCATGTACGTTAGCTAGCATGTTGTTTAAAAAATTTTTTTATTACTCTGCCTTAAGCTATGGAGGTGAATACAATAATGAAACCCTGAAAATGGTCCAAAATGACTGATGTAAAACACTGACTGTAAGTTATCTGTAAATCCCATTTTGCAGAAGATTTCAAACATGAAAAACATTCATAAGGGAGACCACACTCACAATTGCCAACTCTCCTTATTTAGGTGATATCCTGATTTCCTGACCCTTGAATTTAGCATTTTCAACCATTAAATTTGCTGAACTATTCCTATCTTCTAAGACCTAATGATTTCATCTGACAGAACAACTCAAAATATGTCATTTTAAAGAGTTATTGTGTCCTTAAGGGTAATTATACAAACAATTTTATCTATGTTTTTAACTTGGAGCATGCAGACTGTCCCCCATGGAAAGTAATTACACTAAATACTGAGCTAGTCGCAGCTCCTTAGTTTTTCTCAATGTCTCTAATTGGGCTTAGTATTTTCTGGAATAGGTTGTATGACCTTTTTGCTACCTATGGACTGGCTGTAGTTGTCGGATGGTAAAGGCGTCAAGCTGTCTTCAATCACTAGCCTTAACTGGGTTGCAGGTTCGAGGCCTTCATTGGGCAGTTGCCAGGTACTGGCTGCAGGTTGGTTTTCCTCCACCCTCAAAATCTGGCACATACTTATATGACCGTAGAGTAGCACGTAAACACAGACAAACCAAACCCAACCTACTTTTAGTTAAGAACAACTTGAGCTGATTTTATTTCTCTATTTACATTTTCATACACAAATGTAATACTGATGTGGAGAAAAAGATAACTCACCAAGAGCCCCCATTAGATGAGCAAACCTATGCTAACATTATACAGCCCTGTTTGAGAGATGGGATCCAAACCTTTGTCTAACTGTTAAGGACAAAATGCTGTGGAAAAGTACCTGGTTGTCCGGACAGAGGACCGTGAAGTAGCCGACACACTGGATGACCTCGTGAAGTATGTCGTCTGACGTGTGGTGACTACAGTACCACATGAGGTAGCTGGCTATGTGACGGAACTCTAGTGACATGCCCTCGTCTCCCAGGGTTTTCTACAACAATAAATACAAGCCGATTCAAATTAGCACAGTGTTAGTTGGCAACAATATTTTGTATCTTTTGCAGCTTTTCATAGAATTTCACTCTTTATTTTCCATTTTCCCCCAGAAAGTTTAAAAACTTTATCTAACAGCAAGGTCTGTTTGTGAGATTTTACCATGTTACATGGGAAGGCCAAAAGGTTTAACCTGTAAAACAGGGAGGTCATGTTATTTTACCTGTAAAATGGGGAGTTTAAGAAATTATAGCTGTAAAATGGGGAGGTCAAAAGATTTTACCTTAAAAATGGGGAGGTCAAGATATTTTACCTGTAAAATGGGGAGTTAAAAAAAAAATACCTATAAAATGGGGAGGTCAAGGAAGTTTAACTGTAAAATGAGGAGGTCAAGAAATTTACTTTGCAAAATGAGGAGGTAAACAAGAGCTCTTACCTGTAACATGTGGAGGTCAAGGGTAGCCATGTTGTTGAGCATTCTTAGTCCTGTCAGTGCCACAGCCATGGTGTGCTGGGGGAACTCGGGTGGGGAGGAGTCACTGCGACTGGGGGCGCCGGAGTGGAGCAGCATACCATACAGGAGAGACACAATCCCCACTAGCTCCGTCATCTCATACGTGTTGATCAGCTGGGTGGGATCCTCCACCTTCCTCTGGTCAAATAGGGAGGTGTTTCTGTGAAGACAGCAAGAATTTTTAATAAATACAAGATTGGTTTAAATGTGATACGGGTACATAATTTGGGGAACATCGTAGGCGAGCAGCACTCCGGCTGATACGGGAGTCTTGAGCTTGAAACTGGTATTTTCTTCATCTATAGAATTTCAATATACTGATAGAATTCTTTTTAAAGAAATCAAGCATTTTTATTCTTTTCCTTTCCAATACAAAAAACAGGCATACAATTCTTTTGGTCATCAAATTGTGATGTAGCAAATATTTGTGATGTTTTTTAATTCTACAATTTATAACATACAGGTGTAATATTACCTTTCAGATATTCTGATGAGATCATTAATCATTAAGTTGCACAGTAGAACAGCTCCTCAATTTTAATTCTGTATTAAGTTATATATATTTGTTAAAAAATATATTCCTCATAAAATTATCTTGACATGAGAAAATATACACCATCAATCAAAAGCCAAGAAAAATAAACTTGTAAAAAAATTGTTGCATTTCTCTACTGTTATCTCCTAAGCTAATGGATAAAATTATTATGAAATACGCACATAGACCAAAATACACACACAAATCTGTCACTAAGATCGCTGGTCATCCATCAAAAATATCTACTACAAAAATTACGAAGATTTGTACTACATTGGACTGTTTTTTCAGAACTCTATTAGATGCTGCAGTAGTTTTATCAAGCAATTTTTTTAATAATCTAGAAAATTCAATTTGTACCATCAATCTTAGGAGGCAAATTTGTAATGTACCATGTTTGAGTTACAAATGCCGTGAGCCTATCATATCTAGCTAATTTCTGATGTCTTCTTGTAAGAAAACCCCATCTTAAGTATTACCGTATCTAACCCAGCATTCACTCTGGGTAACAGGAAACTGATGATTTGATTAAATATAGCAAAACTAGCGGACCGCAAAACTGATCTGCTTAATACAAAGTCTAACCAAGACAGTGAAGCTGGAAATATAGGTCACAGTGACCTACATGTCACAAGAGAAGGCAAAACTTTATTGAAATGGTGAAAGGATGAAGAACAACGGACAGAAAAAAATAAATACTTATTAAAACAAGAGGCCCATGGGCCTAAACGGTCACCTGAGTCTACAGTATTTATTTTTGTTGTTGAAATATGTACCAATTTGAGTAAAAAATAGTATAATGTTAACTTAACTTTGTCAGGACCATGAGCTGATCATTCCTAGACCAATTTTAAGTGAGATCGGCCTATTAGAACTTAGTAGCAAAATAGCGGCCATGGCAGCCAAATTGTATTTCTGATTGACCCGAAAAATAACAACACTTTGTCAGGACCATGATTCGATCATTCCTACAAAGTTTCAGTTCAATCGGCCAAGTAGATCTTTACTTTAAGTTTGAAATAGTTTACCAAAATGGCAGCTGTGGTGGCCATATTGGATTTCTGATCGACCTGAAAAATAACAACACTTTGTCAGGACCATGAGTCAATCATTCCTACAAAGTTTCAGTTCAATCGGCCTAGCAGAACTTGACTTTAAGTTTGAAATATGTTTTCAAAATGGTGGCCGTGGCGGCCATATTGGATTTATGATTGACCTGAAAAATAACAACACTTTGTCAGGACCATGAGTCGATCATTCCTACAAACTTTAAGTTCAATCGGTCCAGCAGAACTTGACTTTAAGTTTGAAATAGGTTTTCAAAATGGCGGCCGTGGTGGCCATATTGGATTTCTGATCGACCCAAAAAATAACAACACTTTGTCAGGACCATGAGGCGATCATTCCTACCAACTTTCAGTTCAATCGGTCCAGCAGAACTTGACTTTAAGTTTGAAATAGGTTTTCAAAATGGTGGCCGTGGCGGCCATATTGGATTTCTGATCGACCCGAAAAATAACAACACTTTGTCAGGACCATGAGGCGATCATTCCTACCAACTTTCAGTTCAATCGGCCCAGCAGAACTTGACTTTAAGTTTGAAATGTAAAATGTTAACGGACGACGGACGAAAACGGATAGCAATAGGTCACTTGAGCTAAAGCTCAGGTGACCTAAAAAAAAGTTATGTGGCACAGGTGTAATGTGTACCACAATTATGAAAGAAGTTATTACAACTTATATTAATCACTCTTGTAGCCCGGATGTTAGTGCGCTGGGGTTTTTATTTCCAAAATACTCAACATGGGAGGGAGGGGGCTTCTAGAATAGGCAGACATTGATACTGATCTTAAAATACAGGTAGGACTCCTCATCTTCAATCTGTTTTAAAATTAGGGTGGGCTTAATAGCAGGCATGGGCACACTACAGGTAGACTACAGTATCATCTGTTCCCTCGGCTATCCTATCTAGCTTCACGCTGCGAACACTCCCACACCAAATGATGAAGTAGATCAAATGTTCATAAATATATTATAACTAGTTTTTTCTCTCCTTCGTAAGGCAAACTTTTGTTGTTTGGTGGTATAAATTACTGTAATCATCAGATTCCGGTATCTTTGATTACAGAATCATTTTAGTTTTATTTCTCACATCATTTCATTATTCTTAATCACCTAAAAATTTCAAAACATGGGTAATACCTAGAGGGAGTGGCTGATAAAATTTCAGTAAGTCATTCTAGTACATTTATAAGACGGTAAAATATTATTGTTAATATTACAAGTGAAATATAATTTTATAGTGAACTAGATATAAGTAATTCTTTTTTTAACATAGCACTGACCAATCGTAATTCAGCAATCCCAAAAATATATATTGTAAATATTCACCTCCTTCAAAATCAGTAAAACTGATATCTATACAAGGAATATTCTTTAAGTATTTTATGGAACATTTCTTTTCTCAAAGTGTATTTTTTTCAATTAAAAGATTTACAGAATGACCCTGAATATGTTATGTGTAATTTATAAGATTTGTAGCATCGCCCCAGCATGATATGTGACAAACTCACTTTCCGTCTCAGCTGAAAACCGAGTAACAAATGTTACCAGAAGAGCCTACGGGGCCATCAATTTCTCCGGCACCCAATTATGGTCAATTGGCTAGACTGCAACATAACCTAACTGACCATTAAGTGTTCAGCCGATCGACTGACCACCACTCATGGATCGTCTCGAGATGAGAATTTCGTCTGCAGCGACCAAATAAATATCTGGGCATGTGACGTTGGAAGTCTGCTATAAACGTGAACCAGACATGGGAAGTTTTAATCATCTTATATTTTAACGTCTTAATCTCAATTTAATAATCTTCCTAGCTGAATCAGGCGACCCTGCTGTCAATTCAAATCATTTCGATTAAGGGATCAAACTTGTTTTTTTTACCCATTGCGAAAACTAGAAAATTGTGTGGTTGATGTTTAGCACCAGACATCAGAAAGTCTGCCGAACCACTTGAAAGAATAAATGCTGGCGGATCCGAGATTCCAAATATTATCATAACCTCAGAAAAATTACACAAAATAACATATTTGGTCTCCATCATTGTACTTGGTGTTTTGATAGCATATTATTAGCCCGACATAAATGAGTCATATTTGATCATGGACGCATTTATCAGGACGGGTGTAACTAGCATGTATCTTGGATATAATAAATTCACTTATGCCCCGCCAACGATCTAATGAACGGTCTGTGGGGACTTCTCCCCGTTCCATTAACTAACGCTCTTCCCCTGATGCTCGCATTAATAAGTTAATAAGCGGGGATTGTAAGATTCCCCGAGATTTTCTCCTGTCATAACGCATCGGGATTATAGGTAGAAAAATGCTGGATGCATTGACAAGTCCAAAATTAGCTTCTTTGTTGATGGCTATCCCTGCAAGTAATTCAATAAAGGCCAATGGCAACCGAGAATTATTGTCATAATCATAGCAAGAAAAAATAACTCATCTTTCCGAACTGCAAAAATATCACTTTTTATTGTAAAATATTGCTCCATAATGCATGCGAATTAAGTTAAATCTGGATAAAAGATAGGCCTGAAAATCTGGATACGCTTCAGCGCATTACTACAAGGTTTCTACAGATTCTAATAAGCTGTTTTGGTTTGGACGCTGCCCGACTATGGCTGTGGCTTTACCGTACACCAACGTGGCCATTGTTTCCCCCCGTCGGCTCTGTACAGATATATAGCTGGCTCGTGATACATTCCAGAGGTTCTCTTTATCAGATAATCCACTTTTTGCAGAATTAAATTTCAAACTTAATCAAGTGGAAATCAAATTTGTGTTATCGCTACCCAGTCTGGTTAAAACCTCAATCCCAGCCTTCCTAATTGTTCCTCAATTGAATAATAAAAACAAGAATTTAATATTCTTTTGAAAGTTCGTTGTAAATCATTTTCTTAATCTAAACAATACAATAATCATATCTTATTCAATGACCTCATTCTGGTCAGAGATATTTATGTACTCAATGAATTTCATCAAATTGAATATTTATAACAATGTGTTCAATAGTGGGGTTTTTTGACATTTTATTATAAAACTAACATTACAAAATTTGCTGATCTAAATTCTGGCTATCTACTAGATAATTTTTGTTTTTAAATTTTCGTAGCAATATTTTTGGCTCTGTGTCGGTGTGCAGTGGGACTGTGATTTTTTTAGATAGTATATATATAGGTTCCATGAAATAACGGTTTTACACATATGATATGTTCCGAGCCTGTTCCTACAAGTACCGAGATATTACCAGTTACATACAAAAATAACTAAGGTCGTTTATGATGACTCCATCAGTAAACAGACTTATACAGCTCTACCTGATGACTTTTTGTCTCGAATTCATCTTCAATTTAAAAAAAGTTAATTCTGTTCAGCCATGATACACCTCCTTCTCCTCTGACATGACCTCCTGACCTTTCCTGTAGCTGCAAAATTGAGTAGGTGGATCTTACCTCTTTTGTGCTTGGATCATTCTGTTTATTCTATTTATTAATTTTAAAAAGATACGCAAACTTTTATTTTTCTGGGTATCAAAACTTCTTTCAAAAGTTGTGG